CCCCAAAGGTCTTAAGGAAAAAAAAAGTTTCTTGGAGCAGAAAATACTTTAACAATTCTTGCATTATCCTTTAGGGTCCAGAGAATGGGGTCTCCCAGGTAACACAGATACTAGACACTCTTGCCCCAGTTTAAATTGAACTGAACATGTTCTGGGCTGTCAAAATCTAGGGATGATGGTGAATAAATAGTATGGAACTCAATTTTTCTTTCATTACCTGTTCTCTATTTTCCAGGAATCAGAGACCTACTATGCTCTCCTTTTGAATTCTTATAAACAGTGGAAAAAGAAAAAAGGGATTTAATCTTAGTAACTGTTTGGTGTTTAAATTAGAACAGAGAGCCTGAGGACAGACACACACACACATACAAATAAAAATTCAAAAGAAACATCTGGTATCCCCCTATGAATACCTTCCATAATAAGTGATCCAAACTGGAAATTTCTTTAATCAACCTGCAGACAAGAATCTCCTCTGTTCTCTAAGAACAAAAGTCAATCCTCTTTCCATTTAGAAGAGGGGGTGGGGTGTAGGAATATCATAGCTCTAAGACAACTATGAAACTCTACTAAGGGAAGGACTATCCTACACCCCTCTTCCCCAAACCTTTTCGAATGGACAGAGAACACGGCTTAACTGCTGAATCTGGGCAGCATGATCTAGTGCAGACAGCAGCAAGTAGGGGAGGCAGATCAGGGCTCCAATCTGGTTATCCTTCTTCCCAGCTGTATGACAAGCCATATAAACAGTTAGAAGGGCCCTCAGAGGTCATCTTGGCTAACACCTAGCTAAACAGTAATCTCTTCTATGTTCTCACATAGCCTCTGCCTGAAGACCTCCAGTGAAGGGTTATCTATTACCTCTCAAGGCAGCCAATTACTGTCTAAGCCTCCTAATCTGTAAAATGGAAGTGATACTTCAACTGAATGCTTCACAGGGTTGCTGTGAGGAAAGTACTTTGTAGGCCATAAAGCATTACCTAAATTGGAGTTATTATTTTCAAATGGATAAAATGTTTTGTCTTCAAAGATTCTGCCACTATCCTGTCCCAAACATACTCTGGTAAATTTGAGCAAGAAGGGGGACATCTATAGCCACTATTGACAGCCTCCTAGAAATATTTAATACCATGACTCTTAAATATGGCATTTGTATATTAAAGACAAGCATTTTGGAACTGATAGTTTTCCTTTTTGGGCCTCAACCTTATTATAATGACCTTGCCAATATATCATAATTTTCTCGATGAGCTTTTTATGCATTTTTCCCCCTTAGCTAGAATTATGAAGCACTGGCATTAGAATGATTTAAAAATAAACAAATAGAAAACAGCAAACCAAAGTGCTCCAAAGGCTTACAGTAAACCTAAGAACAACTAACTAGGTCTCATTATTGCTTTTTCTGATCCCAAATGTCTTCATTTAAAAGCTGTAAATCAATGGGCCTTGTCCTTTTTTTCCTTGTATGCAAAAAACACTACTTGAAGAACATGATACAGAGGTTCTCTCACCCCTTCCAGAACGTCTTAGGGTCATCTCTGCCCTCCAAACATCTTCACGGGACCAGGGAGGCTGGAGGCAAGTCCTGTCTGGAAAACGATGAGCATGACTTACTCTGGGGTATGCTGATCAGTGGCCTAAAATAGTATGCTTTAGTGCCATGTGCCTAACGGATGCTCAATAGCATTCTAAGTGATGGTGCCTGCGTGGAAGAGAAACAAAGTAAAACACCACCATCTTCCTCTGTGTCTACATTGTTCACAGGCACCCACTACCATCTCTCTAATGAGATCATGTGTTAAAGAACTTTGCAGACTGTTAAGTGCTTTTAAAAACACAAATTCTAAGAGCCCTGGACTCAGTGAGGAGCAGAATTGGTTTTGAGTCCTAGCTGTGCCACTGGGTGAAATTGGGCAAGTCATTTAACCACTGTGGACCTCAGTTTCATCTATGAAACCCTACCCTCCACCCCAACAAACTAGTGACTATCACCACCCTCAAGAAGGAGTCTGCTTGAGATTTTCCTTTTAATAGTGAATCTCAAAATGGAATGCATCTTCTTGCATAGCTGATCTCTCCTTCCTGTGCCCTGAATCTAAAGGCACATCAATGTATACGTTTTTCTGTATACATTACCGTGACACTCCTGAATCACCATGATAAAAAAGTGAGTTTTAATTTGCTTCCCCTCCCATAGATGAGAGGGATGGGTTGTATTCTCACCCGTTTGTCCTTGTTATAGCAACAGGGCTGGCTAGGATTAGGAATGTCATCAGAGAGTTTTCTTTAATCCATGTGAAGTCAACTCATAGAGGGACAGAACATCTAACTTTGGTCTTATTCACACTTTACTCTAACCATCTAAGATAACCAGGCTCAAAATTTAAGCTGGGATAAAAGGCAGGGGCTTTGTATATACTACGTGGGCAAAGCAAGGCAGTCAGTGACAGAGAAAAGGCATTACATCCTCTCACAGTACCCAGTGCTGAACCTATACTCCAGAATATTCTTTTCTGACCCTGCTCTTTGAAAAATAGCTGGGGGAAATGGCTAATAGGATAGCCAGAATCATTCATGCTCCCTAATAAAAAGTGATAATGGGAAAACTCCTGGGAGAAGTTTCACTTTTGTCACCATTGGCTGAGTTGTCCAGGAGAGGCCAGAACAAAAAAAGAAAAGGGCAGGGAATGAAAATTCTGCAAAGCAGTTGGTCTAGACCTTGACATGATAAAAGTATTGAGGACTGGCAAGCCCTCAAATGAGAGTCAGTCATTCTGCCACACGAACAGTTCTGGGTGGGCAGTGTTGCTGTGAATGGTGGAATGGCACATGAATAGCTCCAACCTGATTTCACTATAGAGTTGATCACAATTCAGTTTCCATGACTTCTCTTTAATCCAAGCCACCCTACATCATGAAGCAGATACTCAGACTGTTTTCATCCAGAGAAGTGAAGTCACCAAGATCCCCTTGCTTACTGAGAAGTACCACCTTGGTTGTGAAGAACATCTGTTACTGAATTTTCCTTCCAAAGTCTCTGTGAAGTAATAATGTAATAATGATATCTTATACTTGCAGAGTGCTTTACAGTTTTCAAAGTATTTGCATACGCATTTATTTGATCCTCACAAATACCTTGTGAAAGGCCGGGCAGGGATTAGTACTACCTCTTTACAGATGAAGAAACAAGCTCCAAGAAGCTGGGGCTTGTCTGAGGTCACACTGCTAAGAGACAGCAAGCCGATGTTGACTCCAACTCAGGCTCCTGACTCCTACCCTAACCTTTACTTCACTGCCCTCAAGAAAATTTGAAGAGACTTACCCAGGTCACCCAGCAAAAGAATTCAGGCCCAGTCTAATTAATACTCTAGTCGTTATTGCCAAATGTCAGCTCCACAACCTTAAAAGCTTTCTGTCTTTACCTAACTGCTAACCAATCTGGTGGTAAATCCAGAGGCTTACTAGCCTAGGATTCATCTTCTCCACCATTCAAAGCAGAAGTTCACCTCTTGATGTGTCACCTGTGGACTACACCCAAGGCTATACTTCACTCCAAATAATGACTAACAATGGCACCACTCTATGGCATCACTTATGCTTTTTAAGCTGTCGCAGCTCTTTTCTTCCCACTCCTGACACCAAGTAGGTTGCTACCTCCTGTTTTAGTCTTCTAAAAAGTCCCCAAGTCTTGCCCACTGTCCCCACTATCAAGGCTTTTTGAGATTACTGCAAAAGCCTTTCTACCTGCAAACCAATCTTATTGCTTCTGCCCAACACAAGCTATTTTATATACAGAAGCAAAACATATTTTTTTCTCCCAAGCACTATTTTGGTTACATTAGTCTACTGTTCAGAAGGCTATAGTGGAACCCCCAAATCCTTTCTTTATGTCATTCTCTACAGCAGATGTACCCACTTGATGTGGCAAATCATACCCTTTCTCAAGAATTTCCTTTTAAAAAATTAAGCTTTCTTTGGAAACCTGGACTGCTGTCAATGATTTCAACAAGTCTTCCTAGCACTTGTCAATAACCGACTAGGTCAAAGGATTGAGAACAGGATAGAAACATATGATATTATTTAGCCCAATTTCCTCATTTTTACAGACAGGCAACAGGCTAGGAAGTTGAGGGATTTGTCAGAGGTCACATGAGTAGTAAATTGCAGAACTCGGTTGTAAACCTAGGTCCTCTGATTACCAAACTGGTGCTTTTTTACACCGTATTGATCATGTAGATGGTGATACTTCTACTGCTCTCGTTTGTTAGGCTCTTACTTTATACCTTTCCTCTCTACTTTATTACAGAACTGGGAGTTCTATAAATTCCCAGAGGGCAGAGATTATGCCTTTCACAGCACTCAGTCTTCTCCACGTATAAGGGACAGAGGCCCGACTTGATGATAATATGACTGTTAGGGTGGACAAGACAGGATTCTTTAGAGACAGAAGACTTGTCTCCATTGGCAGTATTTAAACAGAGACTGAATGTGCAAGAATAGATGGCATTCATATTTCAAGTTACGGGGGTCGGAGTTGATTGCCTTTCATTCTGTTTCCAGGAAAAAAAAAATCTGTCCCGGGGGTAGAACAAAGATCTGGGTATGTGGAAGAAATCCTATATTGAGGCATACATAGCTGGGTGATTGCCACCCCGTCCTATTTCTTCTTCAAAGGTAATAAAAATCTGAGTAGAATGGTTCAAGGAAAGAGAGATTTATTCCTGGGAATTTCTATTCTGAAGGCCTCCCAGAACCTAAAATGAACCTAGGGAGGCTGATGTCAAACTTAGCTCCCTGGGTTTGCCTTGGGACTTAGGAGGGGGAGGGAATAAGCATTTATAAAGCGCCTACTATGTTTCAGGCATTGCTTTTAACAAATATTGTCTCATTTGATCCTCACAAAAACTTTGTAAAGTGGGTGCTGTTATTAGCCCCATTTTACATTTGAGGAAACTGAGGCATACAATGGTTAAGTGACTTGTCCAGAGTCACACAGCTAGTATCTGAGACCAGGTTGAGATCTTCCTGACTCCAGGCCAAGTACTCTATCTACTGTGCCACCAGCTGCCTCTAATGATTGAGGGCTGAGTCTGAATGAAACTATCATATGGTGATTGTAATCACCATAAAAAAAGGATGAGGAGAGTGACAAAAAAGATCTTTGTAAATGGAAAAGTTGCATCAGAAGAAAGAGGGGAATATGGTACACAGGCTTTAAAATCTTACAAGGGTCAAGATGCTACCTACGGTGTTCATAGTAGGGTAAATTTTAAATTCTGATTTTGAGCTAAGTAATATAGAAGCATATGATTTTTAGACAATCATCAAAGGCATGTATGACCAGTAAAGGAGGTGGGCTGTTCACGTAACGAGATGGCCTGATGGTACCCCAGAGATATGAAAAGAACTACATGAAGGCTTCCAGTGTATTGAGGTGGAGACTATATATAGGATATTTAAAGAAAGACAATAAAAAGAATGAGAAAGTCCATCTGGTGTATAAATTGGCACCCAAGCTGATACCCCTCCACTGAATAATCAGGTAATATACGTATGTATGTATGTGTGTGTGTGTGTGTGTGTCTATGTATAGGAGACACTTTCACACTTGTAACCCTTTCAATTTAGTGACACTCATTAACATTAAACTGAGATTATGGGTAAATAAGTATCAAAAGCAAAAGGACTGAATCTGTACTGGTGTGTCAGTTACGAGATTGAAAATTCATCCAAATACTTAAGTAGAACAGAAGCGTTCATTAACATCACGAAATTAAGTAATACCAATGGACCTAGATTAGAAGAGGGGCTTGGACATCTAATCAAATGGCTTCACTTCTATAAAGGAAGTTGGTCTTCCTTTTTCCAGCAGGAGTTTTTTGGTGATACCCTCTATTGGTGTTGCATTAAAAGCAGTGCCTTTCCTTCCATTCAATGTGGATAATCTTTCCACCTTGTAGTGCCAAGCAGGTAGAGAGGAATTACAATGGACCAAACAAATCTGAGTGCAAAGAAAACCAATGTATCAATCGAAATTTTGCCAATGAGACATTTATGGCACAGAGGTAAGAGCCCTAGATTTGGAATCGGAGGACCTGGGTTTGAATTCTACTGCTCATCCTTATCATATGTGTGATGGTGGCTAAGTAATCTGACCTCTCTGTATTCACTATTAGAATAATAAACTAATCAAGAAAAATGCAGTGTCGAATGAATAAACCAATAAAATCTCATATTGCAGCTACAGAGCTGCCATTTACCAGATTGTACAACTCTTTCCTCCATTCTTCCCAAGCAAAATATGGCAAAGACTTCACTTTATGACTGAACTCGGGGTACAAAAAGTATAATCTAGGGCTTTACTCAGTGTCAAAGGGTCAAGATTACCAATCACTTTAAAAAAACTAAGTAGGAGGGTATTTGAATATTAAAGAGAGATTCTGAATCAATTTTAGTCAAAAGTAATCTGATAATGTCATAATCTCATTTTGTAGGTACCTGCTTTCATTTCCTGTTTATCTGTTGTCTCTGTCTGAAGTCACTTCACTGTTTGGGGTCTCAGTTTCTTCCTGTGTAAAATATTAATAATCAACTTATACTGTCCACACTTCAGAGAGCTATTGTGACCACAGGGCTTTGTAAACCAGGTAGCACTACAGAAATAGGAGCTATTATAATGATGATGACGATGATAATGATGTGCTTTTACTGAGTTATTCTCTATGCCTTTACCTAAGCCCTGGTTCTATTTTTAGCCCATAAAGCAATTCTCTTCTCTAGTCATTGTACTCACTACTCTCACTTTAACTCCAATCATGTAAAATATGAATAACAAATTTTAACCTAGGTGATTATACTCCTCTGTCAATACTAAAACTCTTATTTTGGTTTTTATAAGTCAGAATCAAACCTGCTCCACTCCATGGAATAAGCAGTCTTCAAGGATTTAGGGGAAAGGGGGGGTGGGTCTGGAAAAAAACATGTCCACACCTGTGTCCATTTCAATTTGCTGACACTTAATAACATTAAATTGAGCTTAGGGGTAAATGAGATAGGAGGTGTCATAAGAAAAGAGACTGAATATTCCCTGATGTCACAATGAAGTTCATGCAAACTCCATTACAAATTAAAAACAATTCCCCAAACACAAGACTTGGAAGGCTTAAAAAAAACCACCACACTACTTTGTAATAATAAAAAACATCCCCCCTCCCCCAAATGATTAAGACTAGCAAATGAATTAAAACACCTAAATGGCCCAACTTCCTCACTCCAGCAAGTGCTTTCACTTATCAGCACTACCTATGACCAGCACGGAAAATGTAAATTAGTTTATATTCAACACAAAGACAAGAATGACATGCCAGGCTATGGAGATCCTATGGAGGAGCCCATGTTTGGTCCCTCACCTTCAGGATCCTTTAGACTGGATGGTTCTGGGAACTGATACTGGGACATGAAGCATTTCACTTCTTACTCCTGTTGGTGCAAATCCTACCCAGGTCAGCCACAACAAATCATTACCATCTTACAGCTCTTCAGAGAATGGTGTGATGAGCACTTCTGGTCTCAGTCCAGGGTCAACATCATAAAAATCACCGTCTCACTTGGCAGTTACTGGTCCCCTTGCTGGCAGTCTCAGCAGAGAGACCAAAGACTGAATGGGCTGTGGAACCTGAACTACCCTCTCACTCTTAGAGGCAGCCCCTGAAGGTCAGGGCTGAGCCACCCTGGAAAGGCGTGAGTGAGGGAAGCTTTGACTGCCACTGCCCATGCTGTACCTGGTCTGTGAATAAATAGGTCTTCAGTCTCCAGGGTTGTCAATGACTCATTTTGTAACCTTGGGCAAGCCACTTAACCTCTCTGTGCCTCAGTTTCCCCATCTGTAAAAAATAGGGACAACACTTGTTTGTAAAGCACTTTGATATCCTCAGTTGAAAAAAAAATCATACAAATGCATGCTATTATAAAAAAAATTCCAACAATTTTACCTTACAAATATACAAAATACCACCACCACCATCAATATCACCTTGGCTGTTCAGAGCACCTTTCTTCTGAGGAGCTCAAAGTACTGTCTATATGTTATCTCAATCTTCTGCTGTGGTTACCTGGAGGTATCCAATAATACTGGATTCAAAAATCAAATAATATCTTGGATTTATCCAGCACTTGTCTTCTAAGGAGTGACAAAAGCTTCATGTATCCCATTTATTCATATGACACCCCTGTGAGGTAGAGAGGGGGAGGGGAGCACATATTATCCTCACGTTACAGATGGTTAAGCTGAGGCAGTTAGTGCTTAAAAATGACTTGCCCAAAAATCACACCGCAAGTCAATGGATACACCAGGTCCAAATTGCAAGTGTCTCAATTCAGTGCTTCATTCACAATGCTTGATATTTTAAATATCTTAATGTTTCAATTTGGTACTTGACTCCTGGAATAACTTTTTTTAAACAATGGAAACAAGAGAAACTGCACAAAATATTTTAAACAACGAGAATACATTTTAACAATGATTTAAAAAAAACTCACTAGGTTCAAAAACACATCCACATTTGGAATATTTATACTATGAAAACAACCTGAAGAAAGACTGTCCTACAGGTCCTAGGATGTGTCACCTAACAACGACAGAAAGACATACTAACAGCCCAGCAGGGTCTCCTGACAAGCTATTCTTTTACCAATTAATGGCTCAAGATAAAGTGCCTGAGTATTCTATGGCCCCTACACTAGTACTGAGGCTTCCAAGGACAGTTGAGTCAGGGCAGATTTGAATGAGCTTATCTTCCTCTATTAAAATACCAATGAACCTTAAAAAAATACACCTTTTAGGAATCCAGCTTCAATTTTAACTCTAAACAACAGGACTGGCCAAACCCTTCATTAAGTGAAAAGTTTCAAAGTGGTTCTTAGGCATTATAATAAAATTACAGAGAACCAAATGCCCTAATTTTCCTAGCACACAACCATGGCATTTCTGCTAGGTTAGCTTCAAATGACATCCTAAGCTACTCCTGAGGATGAAGTAACATACCAGCAACATGAAGAGGCCAAGGGCCCCACTGGCAAGTCTTTGCATTTCTCTTGGACACTGCTTCTGTCCCAAATCAATTTATTGTATCACTGCCATAAAAACCCCAATTATTAAGTTCTTATCTATAATTTTCAGGGAAGGCAATTGCTCATCATGATTAATTACACTGCATAACCTGAGTTAACCAAAATCAAACTAATTTGATTGCTCAATCATAATTTTGCTTTTGCTGCACCTGACCTGTAGGACAAAGGAGCAAAATGACAAAAACTAGGTCACATCAGGGATTTTACACACATACGCAAACCTCTCTAAGGTATCCTGGCCTTGGGGCCAGCAGATTCAGATCGTTCTCCTATACCTACTATATACTATATACACATAGTCCATACAATGATCACTGCTGCTCAAGGTGACCCTAAGGTATGCAAAATCCTCAATGAAAAGTTATACTCTATTTGGTAAAGGCAGCAAAGTGTACTAAAACATTTAAGACAAATTTTCAACAACATGGATTTGCTAACTAATTCTCAGTTAAAAGGAAAATTCAATTAAACATAACACCTTACTCTCTGAGAATTCTGGTTAATCAAGGGTCATGACAATATGAAACACAGATCCTCAAAGTGTTGACTAAACCTCTTCCTTGAGAAACATACTGAAAATTCTTTAGTTCATATCTTCAGTTAGTGAACAATGAAAGCCTACTCATTTCGGGTTTATTCTTTTCCAGCTGCCAGGTGGTTAAGATAATCTGTAAATGTTGAGAAGAAAAAGAAAAACCCTACAGACACACATTCCAGTCATTATTAATTTGCTAAGGCCTACTAAAAATATTGCATCATGTTTAAAATAAAGATGTAAAAACTATCTTGGAGACCACTCTGGTACTAACGTCATCTATACACGTCAACTGCTGCTTTGAGTGCAAGAACTAGCAATATGTTTCAACAGCCTATTGACCAAAAAATGCTGGCACTTTAAGAAGACACTCTAAACTGTTGTCGAGTTTGTGGCAAATCCACTCATAAACACAAGATTTCATAAGACTAAGTAAAGGGAGATGTCATTATATTTCATTAACTCAGGTTAATTACAACATTTAAAAGGTAGCACAGCCACAGAGAACACTCAAAAGTTTTCTGATAGTGACCCAACTTCTATAGAGCAGGCCAAGCTTCGTCTGCTCCTCTGTCAACAGAAGTTCTCCATTCTATTAGTAAGAAGGGTGATTAAAAACTAACAACAAAAAAACCAGCAAACAAGCCAATCCCTCCTCCTCCCCCTCCTAGCCCTACAAAATGAATTCTGCCAAATGCTGGAAGGGAAAGCTACCTATGTCGTTAGTATTCAGTTTCCCTGACATACATGCTGGTCACGGCAGATACAGTGCTGGACATAGAGTAAGTTACACCTGGGTTCAAATCCTGCTTCTGACAATAAGTAGCTGTTTGTTTGAGCCTCAGTTCCCTCATCTGTAAAATGGAGATAATATCTGTAGTACCTACTTCACAGGGTTGTTTGTGAGGCTTCAATAAGTCCATTTAAATAAAGGGTTTTGCAAACTTTAATGTGCTACAGAAATGTTAGCTATTATTATTTTTAAGACTCTCACCACCCATGAATACAGAACATCCGGTACCACCTAGGAGGAGCTGGTACAAAAGGAGGATACTCCAAGGAACCCGGTAAGGTTTAGAATGGTTCTGTCTGAAAGGAGAATGGACCCACAAGTTCAGAGGCCCTTCACAACAGGGCCAATCTAATACTAGATCTCACAGGTCTTGTGAGCAAACAGAGAACTTTTCTGAATGCAGGGTGGGAGGCACCTCATGGTTCAGCATAGTATGAACTGAAATGTGCTGTTGCCCAGGGCTGCCTGGTATACCAAAATGGCAGGCACAGAGCTGCTTCCCTTCTCCACCCCCTCAACATTATTTAATGTAGCCCTGACCTCTACTTCCTAAGTTTTGTACACCTCTTGCAAAATGAAATTTTCCATGCTTCGCTAGTACTGAACTTCACCCTTGTCTTCAAGATTAATTTCCTACTGCCACCCAAAATTTGAGATGGTGAAGACAGAATTTTTTGTTTCTCTTTCAAAACTAATTTTCTACTTCCTACCCATAATCCTCCTGCTAGGAAGCACTCCCTTTCCTTGCACCCAAACTCATAAACTTGCAATTTAAGGTTCTCTTTTCAGTCAATTGTGCAGAGGCAGCATACACAGTACAATGGAAAAAAGCACTGAGGAGACCTAGGTTAAAATCCTGTCTACCTCCAGCCATGTATTCCTAGGCAAGTCACGCCACCTCAAGCGCAAACTGAGGGTAATACCTGCACCAGCTGCCAGCACATCAAGATTGTTGTGAAGAGGAAAGCACTTAAAAACTTTGTAACCTTAGAGTGCTATGCTGACATTTCATTATTAGTTATTAATCATGCCATTTTTCCCTTCCTTGCTGAGTTGATTGTTACTTTTACCACCTAATCTAGGGTCAACTTTTGCCCAGACTATGTCCCTACTGTTGGTCTCATTTTCTTGAAGTTCTCTTTTCCTATTAATCCTGACTGCTGCTACAAAGTCATTTTCGGTACATGTGTGTGTGCCCCTCAGTCACCATTACTCCTGTCCTTCATATTGGCTAATGGCTTCTAACTTTTCAAAGAATATTAATTTCAATTACAAAGATGATTAATCCTTCTGCATGATCAACTTTCATTTACTTTTAAATTTCTGTGAATTTAATTCTCGCCTTTCCCCAACCATCAAAGTTTCCTTATAGAACAGGGAGTGCCTATGTAATGACAGGATGGGAGAGCAGAACACTTGGAAACCTACAGTGAGAGAGTCTTCTCCAACTGGATCCATTCTTCTTGAATATCTCAGGTCCTTAACATCTTTACTCTCCAAATGAATGCCTTTAGATTCTTATGTATTACTGTTTTTAGTAAAACTTTCATAATGGAGTTTAAGGTTTACATTCATTCCTAATTTTAATGTCCAAATTCTCTAGTGATTTATTTCAACAAATTCTATTCTAGTACTCCTACCAAGCTAATTTATTGCATGTCTCAGATTTGGCTCCTTCTTGCTACATCCTCAATTAAGTTTTCCCTAACTTCCCAAACTAAAAATGATCTCTTCCTCTTCAGATCTCAAAGTACTTTACACATTGATCCAAATTCTAATTTATAGTTAATTGTGAATGTGTCCTCTCTCTCCCTACTGGATTACTGGCTGAGCCTATTTATCATCTGCAGTGAACACAATGCATTGAACAAAACAGATGTGTAAAGAAATGTTTGCTCTAGTTCTCATCTCACCTAAGGATTGCTGATCAGAGACTCCATCAGGCCTGAGACAGTGCTTATTTCTCAATCCACCAAGCCACCTCCTCTTTTCCCTCAAGTCAGTAGTACATAATGTTTACCTCTGTAGTACAACAATATTCACATCTTAACTCTAAGAGGCAGCTTGATGTAGTGCTGGATGTGGAGGAAAAAAATCTGGATTTTATTTTAGTCTGACACACTTAATAGCTTTATGATCATGGACATGTCATTTACCCCCTCAGAGCCTCAGTTTTCTTATCTGTAAAATGGGGATAATACTTGCCCTACCTACCTCACAGGATTGTTCGGAGAAAAAGTGGTTTGTTTTAAAAGCACTTAGAGTGCTACATAATTATGAGTTATTATTACTCAAACTATACACTGAATAGTCATCCATTACTGTTTTATACTCCCCATATAACATTCTACTACAGGGGCAGGCACTCTGTTGTAAAATACTAACAAAATGATCAGAAGAAAAGTCTGCACAGCATACTACCAACTCATATTCCTTACATTGTATAAGCTCAAAAAAGTATCCTAACCAAAAATTATGTAGGCTTATTTTCAGTTGCTTGAAAATAAAGGGAAGACCTATGACCTGATCCCAGTTAAATCTCCTTAATGTTACTCTCTCAACTTAGCTGGACTCTGTAAAACGCATTAAAACATTAACCTTATATCTTACGTGCATGTTGTGCATCAGCCCCATTCAAATAAAGAAATAAATATTTATTAACCTGACCAAGAATACACAAGTGATAAGTCTTAAATCCTCAAAGTCCTCCTCTACACAAAAGGGCAATTTTATTTAACTATGTGGGAAGAAAAATGAATATTGATCAACATTTTATCAATGAATTTTTCCCCAGATGATTCCTTTTCATTATCATCACCCAGCAAACTTTTAAACTCACAGCTATTTTGTAGTATCTAAGAGCAACCAATTTTTCCACAATATGCAATCTATATTTAACTATCTTTCAGAATCTATCAAGCACAGCTGCTAGTATTACATGAGGGAATAAACTGCAGGCACATCAGATCCGTAGCAAAACGGTAGTAGTTCATTCCCTACCCTTTTCCCCCACCATTATCCAGGTAGCCCAGAAAGCCAACTTACAGAGACTTAATACCTCAGATTTGTCTTTTCATTTTTACACAGTTTCTCAAGTCCTACCATTAATGTGTTCTTATATTCATGTTCTAAGTCCTTGTTTTTTCCCCTCAGTTCCCACTTCGGTAACATTTAATCCCTGTACTCAGAACATCTTCTTCACGTCTTAATTCCCGATCTAATAAACCACCTTCTGGATCAGTTTTGCCAGAAGGAACCATTAAAAATATCCTTCCAGGCAGCTCTTTGGGGGCCAATAAGTTGAAAAATATTCAAAAATGTGCCCCTTAGTCCCATTACAGACAACAGCTGAGCCGGTTACTATTTATTAAGAGTAAATTATCTAACCATAAGCACTCTTCAGAAACACTGGAGAACACAGGCAGCAAGGAAACTCTGAATGGAGCTTTTAAAGAGAAGGAATTAAGATGTTGATTTACCCTGCAAAGGGAATGAGGAGGGCTTTCATCACTGCAGGGCCATGCTTTGGTAAAGTGTCACTAGACTAACTGGACAGGAGTCTCCCGCCCAAATTAGCGTGGCACATGGCAAGTCTACCAGAGCCTCCCTGCCAGAGATCGTTTGCCCCGGGAAGATGCGTGGTGACCCGTCTGAT